TTTCACTACAACAAGTTGGGCCTTGAGTGACGAAATTTTTTTGTCTTCAAAGAGCTAATTTCGTCACTATAGATATTTGTGAGGAAATATTTTCGTCACTGGTTTCGTCATTGAATGTTTGTCACTAAAAACCAACGTGACGAAAAATAATTTCGTCACCAATGAAATTACTTCAGCGACGAAATTTTTTGTCACCAATAAAACAACATTTTGTCGCCAAAAATTCTCATTTTCGTCACGAAATAGTTTTTCAATACCATATTTATAACTTTAGTTGACGAATAAATTTGTCACGCATGTTGGTCATTGATGAGGAAATAATTTCGTCACAATAAGATGTAAAGATGACGAAATTTTCGTCTTCAAAAGTCATAATTTTGTCACCAATAAAACAATATTTTGTTGCCAAAAATTCTCATTTTCGTCACCAAATAGTTTTTCAATACCATATTTATAACTTTAGTTGACGAATAAATTTGTCACGCATGTTGATCATTGATGAAGAAATAATTTCGTCACAAACCAAAAAAAATCAACACTCAATCTTAATTTGCAACTACAACTAAGCTTCAGTTTAGGAAAAAAATTCAACAGTTGATCCTCATTTGCAAGTATGCTTCTGAACGTCATCAAAATCAATCTACAAAAAAAATAAACAAGGCAAACATTAGCATAGAATGTATATATATAAAGTTTATTATAATAGCAAAGTTTTATTATAAACTTAAAGCCAAATATCAGAAACTTAACAAATATACAGAACTGTTCTCAAGATCACAAGCTTGAAGTTATTTGAATAGAAATTAACAGAGATTAACTAAAAAGATCAATACCATGCTGATTCCCACCCATGGGCTTTGCAATGATCACCTTAACATGGCAATTCACTGTATCCCTAGAATTATTCTCGGATCAAAAACTGGCTGTGACCCACGGACAGCAGCCAAACCAGTTATAACACTACAACATCTCATGGTAAGAACCAAAGCATGCAGTCAATGAGAATGGGAAGGAACAAATATTGTGGCTGCTGCACAAATGGGATTTAAAAAAATTTTGAAGAGAGAGAGAGAGAGAGCAACAACCTACAATGCAAAAAATGGAAAACTGGACCATTAGCTTGGTGAGTTGTGACAGCAATGACCAAAATGGATGTAGATAATAAGCTTATTATTTTTAACATTAGCATTAAAATGATCTCATGTACATAGACTAGATGCTTGTATTGGTCTCTCATCATGAACACCAATAGTTGACTTGCAACTATCATACACACCAGAGTGAGCAGATCTCCTATATGCACCTGCAGTAGCTGAAGATATAGCAGAGGCATCAGATTTAGTAGGTGCAGTTGATATAGATGCAGCTAATATAGATGTTGATGAAGCTAGATGATCAACTGAAGCTGGATGAACTTGAGCTAATGTTGATGAAGCTAGATGATCAACTGAAGATGAAGCTTTATCAGGCCCCTTCAAGCTGAAAGGTGGGAGACCAACTAAAAGCTTGGATTGAAGAAAAAGAAAATGAGACACAGGAAGAGATTTGGTACAAATATATGACACTTGATCAGAAGAAGACACATGACGAATAAGAAGTTGCTTAGCTGAAACTTTTTCGCGCACAAAATGATAATCGATCTCGATATGCTTTGTCCGAGCATGAAACACAAGATTAGCAGCAAGAGAAAGAGCAGACAAGTTATCACACCAAAGCACAGGAACAGAAGAATGGCATATATGCATATCTTTAAGAAGCATGTGAAGCCAAGCAACTTCAGCACTTGCAAGAGCCATAGCCCTGTATTCGGCTTCAGTAGAAGATATAGCAAAGGCATCAAATGTAGTAGGTGCAGCTGATATAGATGTTGATGAAGCTAGATGATCAACTGAAGATGGATAAAATTGAGTTGATGTTGATGAAGCTAGATGATCAACTGAAGATGGATAAAATTGAGTTGATGTTGATGAAGCTAGATGATCAACTGAAGATGGATAAAATTGAGTTGATGTTGATGAAGCTAGATGATCAACTGAAGATGGATAAAATTGAGTTGATGTTGATGAAGCTAGATGATCAACTGAAGATGGATAAAATTGAGTTGATGTTGATGAAGCTAGATGATCAACTGAAGATGGATAAAATTGAGCTGATGTTGATGAAGCTAGATGATCAACTGAAGATGGATAAAATTGAGCTGATGTTGATGAAGCTAGATGATCAATTGAAGCTGAAGCTTTATCAAAGGTTCCTAACCCTAGCAAGGTAGGGAACTACCGTCCTAAATAATAAAACTTGTTTAGAGTTAGTGAGACTTGTGGGTTGAGTGATGTTGAGCATATAAATATTTTTTTTTCTAATGTTTGTTATACAAATTGGCAAGCTGATACATATTATGAGGAAATTTGGTGGGTTGAGATGAACGTGAGCATATATTTTCTTGAGTGTTTTATGTGTGATTTGAGAGTGTGGATTGAGTGGCTAAGGACTATACTGTGTTTGTTCTCAACGTATTTTGTTCTTTCCTTTTGGTCCTAACTGATGGTTGTTATACTACTTAAAATGGGTCTCTCATGTGTTTAACACCCCCATAGCTCTCGTTATGTGGTGGTTGAACATATGTAATCCTATGTTTGAGTTGGGGTATCTGCTGCTTGGGTTTGCTGAAACTGGACAGTGGTTGGTTCTAGTATACCTACTGCTATTATTGGGGTTCTATGCCCCTTTAGCTGAGCTATACTGTAGGGCATGATGCAACTGTGCTATGGTCTAAAATCTGGGACTATTATAGTCAGCTATTTGTTACTGCTGTACACATTGCTACTGTTTGATTGGTTGGATCTGCAAATCCTGATGGAGCCATGTAGTTGGTTGATGCTGCCGTAGTTGGTGTATCTGGTTGCTATTGGCTACTACTGTTACTATTGGTATTACTGCCTTTTCTATTGGAAAATTTTGATACAGCTAGAATGTTGTTTATTTTTGTCTTGTACAGTTGGCTATTTGTTGGAGTTTTCGGATGCTCCTCCTAAAGCAAAGACAGATAGGTGTCTTAGATACAAGTATTGTAGTTCAATATCTGGCTGAACATATGTAATCCTATGTTTGAGTTGGTGTATCTGCTGCTTGGGTTTGCTGAAACTGGGCAGTGGTTGGTTCTAGTATACCTACTGCTATTATTGGGGTTCTATGCACCTGTAGCTGAGCTATACTGTAGGGCATGATGCAACTATGCTATGGTCTAAAATCTGGGACTATTATAGTGAGCTATTTGTTACTGCTGTACACATTGCTACTGTTTGATTGGTTGGATCTGCAAATCCTGATGGAGCCATGTAGTTGGTTGATGCTGCCGTAGTTGGTGTATCTGGTTGCTATTGGCTACTACTGTTACTATTGATGGTCCTTAGTCAACATAAATTTTTACCAAAAAAAAAAGTAGGTCATTTGTTGTTGATTTATGGATTTGGTGGTTTGATTATGTGACTTTGATTTCAATTATCTTGCAAGACTTGTGGTCATTTGTTGTTGATTTATGGATTTGGTGGTTTGATTATGTGACTTTGATTTCAATTATCTTGCAAGACTTGTGGTCATTTGTTGTTGATTTATGGATTTGGTGGTTTGATTATGTGACTTTGATTTCAATTATCTTGCAAGACTTGTGGTCATTTGTTGTTGATTTATGGATTTGGTGGTTTGATTATGTGGCTTTGATTTCCCTCGACATGCACTTAATTAATTTCCCATGGCTCATTACTAAAAAAAGTACTTTTTGCGACCGCTACAAGCTGTCGCAAATAATGAAAAAACTGTTGCAAAAGACTTTTTGCGACGGCAAAGTAACGGTTGCAAATTATTTGCGACTATCTAAACTACTTATGGCAATAGCTATTTTGCCTTCGCAAAAAATAAAGAAAAATGGTAACATATTTTTTGGCGACCATCTTGTTACCATCGCCCAAAAAAAAAAAAGTATAACATTAAGCACTCAAAATTGATCCTCATATCTGCTGCACAATATTAGAACTCATGTATGGTAGTGATTTTAAATCAAACACAGTATTCAAGGTTTAATCAATTCGGACTAGTTTTGTTTTGCTACAATTCTTTCCTGGCTCCAACACAACTCTCATAAGTGACGGATGATGTTTTATTATCACATGAGTAAAAGAGAGGACAGATAAAATATTTATTATCTTAAAAATGCTGTCAAATGAAACACAAGTACAGTTCAATGCATGTTCACAATTGAACATGGCAGCGAACATTTAGGAGCTGATCTTCTGAGTAGCTAGTATGCCACTCACAGGTCTTGCTCCATTGCTTAAACCCAGAAATGGTACATTTAGCAATGTAGATTGTTGTGGCAGCCAAGAAAGATGGTGGGAATTTGAGTATCTCATACTCCATGAGGCATAAGTCGATCAAGAAGATCAATAGGAGCCCAAGTTGTTGCAAGGTGCACATTAGAATTACAATTTCTCATTTAGGCTGACTGTGATATGAAAAAATAAAAACTAAATAACACAACATATGGACCGAAATTGAGATTATCTGCTTACTTTCCTATCCGATTGAGCAGCCTTAAGGTATCTGATCAAGAAGACACATGGGGTTGGAATTGACTTGTTGAACTGTAGTGTATTGAGCATCAATCTCTCCTGCATGAATGTGAACCCAAACATGCTTCATGTTAAAACAGAGTCAGTCAAACATTTAAGTGAAGCTTCAACTCTTACATTTTCAATTCAAACTACTTTCAATCGTTCAACCACACAAGGTGAATGTATGGAACCATTTCAATTCTTCACTAACATTATTTAGATGGAGCTAGCAAAGAAATTCGAACAACAAAAATATTCAAGCATACCTGCTTTTTTCTGCTTAGAGATAATAAATTCATACTCCTTGAGAGCATACTAGCATCTTCTTAACTCTCCTTCAGTGCTGGCCAACAATTTGCTTGTTTCGTTCAAGTTTTTCTACAAACCTTTCAATCCTAAAACCATATATAACCACATATGGATAGAACTTACCTGGGTGGCATCAAGTTTGTTGTCTATGTTAGAGCATTTTTTAACCTGATTATCGAATTTATCTTGTAATTCCTCAAGTTGTTGGTCATAGCAAATTCTATTGTTTTTACAGTTGGTTAAATTAAACGGACCTTCTGGTGGATTTCTATTATAACTGCCATTTGTTCAGTCTGATCTGCCATTACCTAAACATGAAGAAAAAAGCTACAAGATTAGAGGTGAATGTCAGATGAATAGACTTCAGAAACCAATGATTGAACGATGAAGGATACATATATGAAAAATGATTTATCAAATCAGGGACGCTTCGCCCCTTGTACTAAGAAGATTCCAATATCAACCTCAGGCTTATTTCTAATATGTTTTGCCCTATGTGCATAGTCTAGTGTACTCAAGGTCTCCTCCAGGCAATGGACTGCAGGTGATACTGTGGTAATAATGCATGTCTTGATTTTTGCACCCAACGAATCGCAAAGCAGACAGGTGAGCTTGTTATCCCTACATTCCAATTTAGCATAGTAAGTGCATAATTGGGATAGGGAAAAAAATCTGAAAAAAGATATAAAAACAAACTAATGGTCTAATGAAAAGAACTTTAACCTGTATGGGACATGCACAAGATGCTCCACGAGACCATTAATAACTCGTCTGATAGTTAGCAAGTCTCCATTAGGTCCAGCCTGGCACAAAATATAGACATGGCATCAGAACTTGAAATGAGTAAGTATAGCAAACTTAAACATGAACTAACCACATAAACAACAAAGTACCTTTGAGCTCTTACATTCTCCTTCCATGGTGTAAGTTTTTCTTGTGCCAAGTTTCCATAGGCAAAAATGGCACAATTGAAACCCTCCAGAACTAAAAACCTATATAGTACTAAAAACCTATATAGTACATGAAACATTTAATGGAAGAAGCAGAAACACTTAAACACATAAGTTAGAGACTTCGCTTCTTGGCTATGGTATTTATGTACCACAGGTTATCCTCTCATAGAATTTATCATTGCAACAAAACAAAAAAAAATAGTAAAAAAGATTAGAGATCTTTTTATTTGTATATGAGTACGACAAAATGCAGCTTTACAACTTACTAGTGCAGCTGCCACGCCAATGACTATTTGTAGCCTTGTTCTCCAATTCAAGGGAGTCTTCAGAGGATCTGCCAAGAGCCAAACTTTGATAACATAATCAAATTAGGCAAACATGTAAATTTTGTGTTCTAAAAGTTACCATTCAGATGCGCCTTCATGATTCCATTTTCTATGTCTTCAAACACTAGAAACCTGAAAAGGGAACAGTTAAATACATCAAAAAGAGAAGTTTCTCAAAACAACAGTTAAGGCCCTTTAAGGGTTAAATACATCAAAAAGATAAGTTTCACAAATGAGTAGATTGTAAGAGGTTCAAAAAATACACGAAATTTAGCAAACAATCTAGAGAAATGTTCAGATCAAATTTAAAAGCCAAAGCAAATCGAGCTTAATAATCAAAAAAAAAAAAAAATGAATCTTCAAATCAAAAACCTGTTTCCAAATCAGAGTTTGCACCGCATTGATAAAAATAAATTGAATTGGAAAAAAATCATGTTGATCTTTGAAATCCACTTCCTCTGAACTAATGTTGATCTTCGCGATAAGCCGAAGAGAATTTGGGAGCTGAGAGAAAGATATAGGGATTACAGAGATAGAGTTGGATTCATACATAGAAATTAGGCTTACCGATTATAAATCAATCGAAATCTTTATCAACAGCAGATCGAAATCTTCAAATCTTCCAATAACCATCATGGCTACCACTGATTACTGCACCAGTCTGAACCAAAGGCAATTCAGATGAACTGGAATCTGGCCTCCAAGATGGAATATAAGGTGCAGATGGCTGGCTGAGTGAACTGGACACCCATTGGAAACAGGAACACTACACACTGGATTAGATGTACTAGTAACTGAAACGTTCTGTGTCCCAGGAGCACAACTAACTTCTATTTGACTGTAATAATCTGCCCATTGCTTATATTGTTGCTGATATTGTTGTGAAGACCTAGTAGTAGCACTAGCATTATAAGCACCATTTGGGTCTGGAGTGTAAAGAGAATTTGGGAGCTGAGAGAAAGATATAGGGATTACAGAGATAGAGTTGGATTCATACATAGAAATTAGGCTTACTGATTATGAATCAATCGAAATCTTCATCAACAGCAGATCGAAATCTTCAAATCTTCCAATAACCATCATGGCTACCACTGATTACTGCACCAGTCTGAACCAAAGGCAATTCAGATGAACTGGAATCTGGCCTCCAAGATGGAATATAAGGTGCAGACGGCTAGCTGAGTGAAACTGGATACCCATTGGAAACAGGAACACTACACACTGGATTAGATATACTAGTAACTGAAACGTTCTATGTCCCAGGAGCACAACTAACTTCTGTTTGACTGTAATAATCTGCCCATTGCTTATATTGTTGCTGATATTGTTGTGAAGACCTAGTAGTAGCACTAGCATTATAAGCACCATTTGGGTCTGGAGTGTAGTTTGAATATTGATGAGAAGCGTAACTTGCATAGTTTCCTTCATTCCACGAGTTGGTTTAATTACTGTAACTGCCACTCGCATAACCTCCAGATATCTAATAATCACCAGGATTGTAGTAAGTGCTTGAATAACTTGCAGGCCCAGCATAAGACCCTGAATTCTGAAATGAGGAAAGAGGCTGATAAGGAGCACTTGTGTTTTGATATCCTACTATAGGCTGAGGGTATGGTTGATTAGATTGCTGCTGATAGCCACCATAATAACCTGTGTATGTGGGATTGCCATATCCATATGGATCGGTATTTGGGTACATTGCATAGCTATTATATTCTTGTGGTACATTTACTGCTTTCTATTTATTTACTATTTGATTTTTATCCACAATCTGTTAATTGCTAACAGCATACTGAATTCTCATATCTTATTAAAAAAATGAATAAATGAATGATATATAGGGAATGAATTTAATGGTGCATCCAAACATTTCATGGCTTTTGGGGTGGTATGAGATTTTGTGTCAGAACACATTTAGATTTATACTTTTCCTTTTGACAATAAATGTTAATTACTGGTTGGACCTTAACAAATTAAACCATTTAATTAATTTTTGCATTACTCTAAATTAAAAATAAATATTTTTTTACAAGCGTATCAAGCCATACTTGTACCCTATTTCTTTTGAATTTTACCGTATCAACGTACCTGTATCATACCAGTACTCGTACCCGTACTTGTGCTTCATAGGTTTTCATGTTCAGATCTTTGAGAAAAATGAATCAAAGGAAGAGCCAAAAAATAAGTCTATTTAGACGAACCAGTTGATGCATAAGCAAGCCATTTGCATGCTTAAAGGCAGACACACCAAGCCAGATAGCTAATCTAAAGCAATGAAATACATGATTATCAATAATACATTCAAACTGTGGAGAAAGCAATTACAGTGGTCTCCCCCAAACTACAAAAAAGATGAACATATTTTTACTTTCCGAACATTTTTTATGCCATTGATCTAACCACCTCAATTGAACAAGAGAGACATTGAGATAGTACCAAACTACAATTTTTATAGGAGTTGAGAAAGTAGAAGATATGAAGAAAGATTTATGCACCACACTTCAACCAAAAGAGAATAAGGCACAACTCTTTGCCAAGAGCTCTTCATCTAATTAATGCAAGAGTCACTGTAAAAGCATAAAGCATGTTTAAATATTGGTTAAGGTGTGTTAACAAAAAACACAGATTGGACCAAGTTTTTGATTTAGATTATATGAGTGGGCCCAAGTCTATGTCCTGAAATATTCCATCATGACTAGATAAGAGTTCTACAACTTTACAATTTCTAGGAAAGCCCAGCAGGTTGTGCATATTTTGGACTACTTTCAACTAAGGCTGCAAATTAACTGAACAAATGCTTTTGGTCAGCTCCTAAGTTGGTTTGTTCACTCAGCAGACAACCCAAACTTGAGAACTATCTTTAAGCTAGCTTCATTAATAACATATGTCCAATTTTATAATGTTATTATATATATACGATTGGTTACATCATTTTCTATATTTTGCACTTAATCTTAACCATTCTCGATTCAATTTGATTTACGATTCACCAAATTAGGATTTCAATTCATGATGCAATTCTCAATTTCACAACTATGTGTGTGAACAATAATACATGTTGAAGAAGTTTAGTTGATGTACTAACCCAACATTATTCATCTAGGTGGAAAAATCTGAAGCACTACTCATAACAAGTGGACCAATAAGAAGTATATCAAACATAAGAATATAAAACAGGACCCAACAACAAAATCTATAATAAAAACAAAATAAATAGTAAAATTTATAATACGGATCGTAAAAATCATATACAATTCACAAACAAAACCCATATCCCACAATCCAAATCGAACCAACTTTGAGAAAAATCAAAGCAATTGAGAAGAAAGAGAAAAGCGATTACCAAGTGATGAGGCTCCTCAAAACTTCGAGTCTAAGTGACCAATCTAATGTGAAATGAAAAAAGCCCTAGACGGAGATGATTAGGCGATACAGAGTCAGAATTGGGAGATGTGGGAATGATGATCGATCGAGGTTTGTCTGCGAAAATTGGATTTTCCAAAGAGGGGAATTAGATTTTCCGATTGGGAAAAGGAATTGGTTTTGGATTTGGATTTGGATTTGGTTTATTATATATATATATATATATTCTTCTCGATGAAGATTTCAAATTCTTCCCTTCAGCGAGATGATCGTGTTTGGGGAAGAAGAAACAATATCTAGAAAAATCAATCAAAAGGTTTAGGGGGAATTAGTAAGGTCTTTTTTTATTATTATAATCAATATCTCAAAGTTCCCCCTTTAAAATTGGTGATAAAATAATTTTTCCATCAAAAATTTTAAAATATTAAAATTATTGATAACAAAAATATATTCTTCAGTAAATAGTTTTAAAACATTTAAAATCAAATTTTTTTATTAAAAAATATTTAAAATTATTGGTGATGAAAATATATTCTTCACTAATAATTTTAAGATAAATTACAAACACACCCCTTGAGATTTGTTTAAAATACATATTGTCCTTTGTGATTCTAAAAATTATATCCTGCCTCCTAAGATTTTTAATTTCATAACGAATAACCCCTTTTAATATCAAATTAATTAATAGTTTTTAATAATGTTAAAATTTTATTTCAAATAATAATTCAGGTAATTTTATTATTATATTAGACAGCGGTTAAGAATTTTATTTTTTCACAACATCAAAAATTTTAAAATATTAAAATTATTGATAACAAAAATATATTCTTCAGTAAATAGTTTTAAAACATTTAAAACCAAATTTTTTTATTAAAAAATGTTTAAAATTATTGGTGATGAAAATATATTCTTCACTAATAATTTTAAGATAAATTACAAACACACCCCTTAAGATTTGTTTAAAATACATATTACCCTTTGTGATTCTAAAAATTATATCCCGCCCCTTAAGATTTTTAATTTCATAACGAATAACCCCTTTTAATATCAAATTAATTAATAGTTTTTAATAATGTTAAAATTTTATTTCAAGTAATAATTCAGGTAATTTTATTATTATATTAGACAGCGGTTAAGAATTTTATTTTTTCACAAGAGGATATTTGTAATTTTTCAAACCACGGGGAGCAATCCGTATTTTAAGTAAACCTCAGGGGGTGCATTTGTAATTTACCCATAATTTTATAATTGATGACAAATTTTTTTTTCACCAAAAGTCTCAAAATTTTGGTGCCACCCAAAAAAATTAGAGAGAAAACCTTTAGTGATGAAATTTAATTTTTCCTCACATAAACATAAGAATTTATTGACAAAAATAAATTTCTACACCTAATATTTTTACTTTTTTATTTTATGTGACAAAATTTTATAATTTGTCACGGATTATTCTTATTTAGTGACGAAATTTATTTTCTTCATTATTTTTCGTCACCATAGGTTACTTAAAGAGCTAATTAACTTGTATTTTGTTCACACAGAGAGGGAAGAGGAAAACTGATAAACAACAAAAAAAAAAAAAAAAAAAGGAAAAAAGGTTAATAGTCAATCTTTTTTCATTACACAATATGTCAAAATTTTCCATAAGAAATTAGTGACGAAATAATTTCCTCACTAAAAAGTCTCAAAATATTCAAAATTATTAGTGATAAAAATATATTTCTCACCAAATGATCTTAAAATATTTAAAATCAAGTTTCTCAAAAAATATATATATAAAATTATTGGTGACAAAAATATATTCCTCACTAATAATTTTATAATTTGTGACAAAATTTTTTCTCACCAAAAGTCTCAAAATTTTGGCACCATCCAAAAAAAATTAGTAGGAAAACCTTTAGTGACGAAACGTAATTTTTTCTCACCTAAAAAGAAGTATTTGTTGACGAAAATAAATTTCGTCATTATTTTTATTTTTTTATTATATGTGACAAAATTTAATAATTCGTCATGGATTATTCTTATTTAGTGACGAAATTATTTTCTTCACTATTTTTTGTCACCATAAGTTACTTTTGTTGTAGTGATTCAAGGGTAAGCCATATTCCTTTTGAAGCATTGTTTTAGTTGCTTACTTAGCCACCTTTGCATGCTATTTTAGGCCTACTCTCCAACTACAAAAACATTTGTGTTTAAGGCTTAAAAATGGTAGTTTAAAGTGTTTTTGGAGTTAGGGGTGTTTCACCCTCTTTGGTGGCTTAGTTGCTAAGTTTCTTGCCTTCCTTTAAAGCTTTTGAAACCATCTTGTTTTGGCCTTTTAACCACTAAATTCTAGAGGACCTTGTATGGTTGTAGTGTAAAGAGCCTTGACTAGCTTTGAGTTTTGGGGCCTTTACCATGCTGTGCATGTGATGTTTGCATGGTATGGCACCATTTAGCATGTGATTTCAGTGCGTATAGTGCAGTCACACTCTCTTATACTTCATTTCTTCATAGCTTTTGAGGGTTGTGTATTATGCCTTACTTATAGGCCAACATGTGTGCTTGTTCTTCTAGCATTTTGAGCTCCTATTTCAGCATGATTAGGCCACCACTTTGGCATGTTTAACCTCTGTCCAGATTTGATTTGGTCATTTAGGCTTAGTATTGTATGCCTATAGTGTTATGCTCTTTGCTAGCTTCAATGCTTTCGACTCCGAGCATGTCTTACATGCATCATTTTCATGCTTTGATGTCATTTAGCATCCTATTTCAGTGCCGGAATATGTGCCATTGCATTCCATTTTTCATTTGTTATATCACTTTCGAAAGTGGTCTTAAGCCCTTTGTTGGTTTGAGCACGAAATTGAGGCGTTCATGCCTAATGGTTTTAGCCTTCTCTTGAGGGTTTCTACTAACCAATGGTATGATGCTTCTCTCATGCTCAAGACGCTTGTGGCTTGGACCCTCTTTCTAATTAGAGGACTTCTCACTTTTGGACTTAACCAGTTAAAGGATTAATCGGTAATCTAAAATGAGTAAACAAAATGAATCAAAGTAAAACATACCAAGATAACATGTTTGTGTTGCATTTCATGTGTTTGGATCGGATGCTAATCCAAACACGAGAAACGAGGGGTGTTTCATACTCAAAGTGATGAAACGTGCCTCATTTCTTGGTTGCCGTCTCCCTTGATTGTGCATGATATGGTGGAGGCCTCTTGAGTCTTGTGTGTTATTTGTGCATTCATTGACTTGTACAAACTTGGCTTCTCGGCCATCGTGCATTGCGATGCTCAGTTGGTGGCCCGAAAGTCGAGTACCACACTCATTTGAGCTTGAGAAATGATAAGGAGAGTGGTTGTACAGACATATCCTGTAAAGACCTTGCTTTGCCTTTGTTGTTCCCTCTTTGAAGCAAAATTGGAAAATGCAGAAGCAAGTGGCCGACCGGCCAGGGCAAGTGGCCTACAGCCTCCTTAAGTGGCCAACAGTTCTTAGGTTTAGAGGTGGTCAGAAGTTGTTTTGGTTCTGGAGCAGAAACAGCCTGGAGATTGGTTCAGTGTTCAGGAATCAAGGCGAATGCAAACAGAGGCAACCGGTGGCAAAGTAACGGACTTTCGGGAGAAAACGGAGCAACCGAGCATGAATGCATCCTTCGCTTCCTAAGGTCGTTCATTTAAATTGCTTAGCTAATTAGCTAGTTAGCTTAGTCATTTTTGTAATTAATTAGTTCAGTGTTTAATTAATTAATTCGGTTTGTAACTAATTAGCTTAGATTAGCTAGTTATTCAATTGTGTTGTAATTAATTAGCTAAAATAGTTAGTTAATTAGTTGGTTTGTAATAGATAGCTTAATTAGTGTAGCTAGTTAGCCCTCTTTCATTCAGACCCTCCGTCGAGAGGGCAAATGTTGTAATAAGTGTGCGTGTGTGTGTGAATGTCTTCCAACCCCACGTCTTTCTCCCTTTTACTTAACCGCTTTCAATGGTTAGTTTAGGGTCATTTTCAATTAGCATACCTTATGCTTGCATGCGTGCATCATTCATTTGTCTCACATGCACCGAGTTCGGCGCATCATTCAAACTGCATCGTATTTCAATACACTTACTTGAATACGTGTCTAAAAGCATGTTATCAAGTGTTGCATTCATATGCCATAGTAGATAGCCGAGCCTATTTAGTTACATTATTGCATGTGTTGCATTAGACATTGTTAACATAGCTAGGATCATGTATTGATTTTTAACTAGTTTTCTGTTTTGGCTCGGAGTACACTGTAAGTGTTTACGCTTCAGCATATTGCATGAGTGTGAGTGTTTCCATGTCAGCATGCTTGTCATGAGGTTATTTGCTTAAGTGATTAATTGCACGAATGCCTGTGGATGAAGGCTTCATTACTTGAATCAGAACAATTCATCAAAATGCGAGTTTTAAGCCCACTTTGGAATGGCACGTCATGTTTTAAGCCTATCTTGTGAGATGGCAAATCCGCATTTTTAAGCCCACTTGAGGGTGGCAAATTCAAACCATTTTAAAAAACAAACATGAGATATTTTGTTCCAATTTGAGCGATTTAGTCTATACTTGTGTGTTATGCGCATCACATAGTAAAGTTAGATTAATAATCGGAACAAGAACACATGAGGTTTATGAAATAACATATCACGCTTAGTAGAGGCCGATCCTTTGATTGGGAGAGCGGGGGTGCTCATTTCAGGACCTTCCCCTCTCGTACCCAAGTTCCCGAGCCGAGGCAACTTTGGTGATGACAGACATGTGGCCTGAGGCACGAGTCAGGGTTTCCTAAATTTTCGAAAATAAAATATTTAGGTTGCGACTCTGTAATCTGGCAAAGCAGTCCATATTTGGCGCTTTTTGATTAAGATCAATTTTCCAAAATGATTTGCCGGATTTGGACTCTTTGGTGATTTATCAGTCTTACATTGCACTTTGTGAGATTAGATTCAGAACCGTGACCGGAGTCCGAACTGTAGTAGCTGAGAACCCAATTCGCATCCTCTCCGAAAAGGAGGGCGCGCAGAGGAAGTTTGGGTGGGCTACAGTTTTTGGCGACTCTGCTGGGGATTTAGAGAACTTGACTCGAACTTATGATTTGTTGTTTTATCTACACTTATATGTTTCTTTGCATTGCATTTGCATTGGTGCGCCTAGGTCACAGTGTTTGCCATCTACTTTTCCTGGACAGTTTACCGGAGGCTTGCTTGGAAAAGCGTGCCATAAGGCTAACCGGTTACCGGAGGACATCAGTATTTGGGGGTATCAGTTTTGAGGCAGAAAATTTTGGGGCAGAAATCAGTGTTTGAGAACAGTTTATCCAGTTTATGATTATCAACTGTGTG